TTCGGGACGTAAGGTAGTGTCCAAACGAGTCTACGTTGAAGGAAATCGAGACACAGGAAGGTCTTGGGCAGAGTTTAGCAGAAGTGCAAAAACACGAAAATACAAACAGACGTACCTCCACGAAGAGTTGACGGTTTCGTAAACGGTTTGTCGGAGCGTTTTCGGGACATGAAGTAGTATCCAAAAGAGTCTACGTTGAGGGAAATCGAGGCACAGGAAGGCCTTGGGCAGAGTTTAGCAGAAGTGCAAAAACACGAAAGTACAAACAGACGTACCTCCATGAAGAGTTGACGGTTTCGTAAACGGTTTGTCGGAGCGTTTTCGGGACATGAAGTAGTATCCAAACGAGTCTACGTTGAGGGAAATCGAGGCACAGGAAGGCCTTGGGCAGAGTTTAGCAGAAGTGCAAAAACACGAAAGTACAAACAGACGTACCTCCATGAAGAGTTGACGGTTTCGTAAACGGTTTCTTGGAGCGTTTTTGGGACGTGAAGCACTATCCAAACGAGTCTACGTTGAAGCGAATCAAGCCACAGGAAGGCCTTGGGCAGAGTTTAGCAGAAGTGCAAAAACACGAAAGTACAAACAGACGTACCTCCATGAAGAGTTGACGGTTTCGTAAACGGTTTCTTGGAGCGTTTTTGGGACGTGAAGCACTATCCAAACGAGTCTACGTTGAAGCGAATCAAGCCACAGGAAGGTCCTGGGCAGAGGTTGGCATAAGGGCAAAAAGACGAGTCACGGCATTGCCCGAAAATGACGTACTTCCCTTGAAGGCTACGTTCCATAGGTTTGAAGGGAGCGCGCAAGGGAAGTACGTCATTTTCGGAAATTTCCGTGACTCAACTTGTGAGTCGTTCCTTTTGATGCGGAATATTCACCATTATGCTCACAACTTCTCAGTACCTTCCTGCAGTCCATTTTGCTTGAGCATTGACTCGATTCAATACCTACGCATTCCACGAACAAGCTCCACAAAACTGTTTACAAAACAGTCAACTTCCCATGGAGGTAAGTAGGTTTGTATTTTCGCTTTTTTGCCTTATGCTCACCAATTGTTCAGTACCTTCCTGTGGTCCGTTTCGCATGAGCGTGGACTTGATTCGATACCTACACATTCCACGAACAAGCTCCACAAAACCGTTTACAAAACGGTCAACCTCCCATTGAGGTAAGTAGGTTTGTATTTCTGCTTTTTTGCCTTATGCTCACCAATTGTTCAGTACCTTCCTGTGGTCCATTTCGCATGGGCGTGGACTCAATTCAATACCTATGCACTCCACAAACATGCTCCACAAAGCCATTTACAAAATGGTTGATTTGACGGCCGTCTGTGGACAAAACTCGCTTTTTTTTTCTACCTACATACTTTTCATGAAATAAAGCTGGCAATTGTCAAAGATTGTCAAAGATAGCCAAAGATTGTTGAAGATTGTCAAAGATTGTTCCATTACAGAAACATGTGAAGGAAGAAAGCCAAATTTTGCGAACAATCTTCAACAATCTTGCAGAATCTTCAACAATCTTTCAATTACAGTTAGGCTTTGGTTCTATTTACAACCTGAGATCTTTGGTGATCTTGCATTTTGTAGGTCTGTATGTTTGGTACACGAGCAAAATTGAAACTGAATAATCTTGGAAAATCCCCCATAATCTTCCAGATTCTCAGCTTTCTCTCAATTCTGGGATTGAGGGATCTTCAACAAACTTCAACAATTGTTAGGAACCAAGGAATTGACCCTATCTACAAACTTCAACAAACTTCAACAATCGTTAGGAACCAAGGAACTCCAAGGAACCACCAAGCCGATCATGGGGCATCTCAGCACTGTGACCACTGCCATTGGTAAGCATCACAAGAGAGATGATGTCATGTTTCCCACCTTTGAGGTCCAAAATCTGGTCCATTCGGACACCAAAAAATCTCGGATCTGGAAATTTCAGCAATTCGGCAGTTCACCGTTTCGCACAACACGTTGGAATTTCCTGTTTTAAATTTCTAAGAAGGCGAATGTACATCAAAATGCACATTCAATGAGAAGATGAATATTAACATACCTGCCATGTAACAAAGTTCAAAGTGATTGGAAGCACACAAAATTTATAATGTCTACGAAGGTGAGAGTGGGTGGCAGATATGGCGAGCCTGTATATGCATCTGTCTATCCTCCTCCTTCTACCAATTTCAGTGTCCCCCAGATTCAAGGTTCTCTAGCAGCAGTTGGCAGCGGTTGCACACGACAAAGGCGATGGCGGGAAGCAGCTGCAGCTGAACGATGCAGTGCTGGAATTAGATGGAGGAAATTGCAAAAGCAGCACCATAGAAAGAGAGAGATGGCGGAATGAGAGGGGGAGGCAGTGAGCATCTTCTCTCATCACACTCCTCATAAACGGGATAAAAGGCAGGAGAATTCTGCCAGGCAAAACACACAGGCAGGATCCTTTGAGTTTTGCTCTGGTGTAATTTGTGGGATATAGTCAGTGAGAATGTTGAGGATAGAGTCTGGACGTCGATCTTTGCGCAG